GAGATGAGATGAGATGAGATGAGATGAGATGAGATGAGATGAGATGAGATGAGATGAGATGTTATGTGATTTGATGATATCAACTAATAATAAATGAAATTTGATGAGGTATTAATTTCTATGATTATTTGAGTTCAGTTCAAATGCTTAATATTAGATTTGATGTGATGAATTGTTTCACGATGATTTTATATTTTTTGATGTCATGAGCTGTGATGATTTTATTCGAGATTTTTGTATCGAGATATGATGTTTTTCGTTGAATCTCGTCAGCTTTGATCGGATCTTATTTATTCAGATTCTAAGTTATGCTTTATTATCTGTTGCCATGATATAAATGCGTGGATTTCAACTGAAATTCTTTCCATCTGTTGATGTTAAATAAATGACATATGAATAAATGAGAGTTTTTTATTTGCCTTCCAATGCGTTGAGATTGGATGTGATGGCATATGCTTTGCTTTAAAGAGATGAGATATGTTGAATTGAGTTGATATGAGATGAGTTGAAATTAAATTAGATGAAATGATATTATATAATGTGTGATGAGTTTAGATTATATTAGATAACTTGAAGTGAATTGAGATGTGATTAAATGGGATTTTTTGTGCTGAGATTTGATGTAGGGATTTATTTTGTGAGGAATTTTGATTAAATTAGTTCAGATGGGATGAAGTGAATTTTGCAAAAATGAGCTGAGTTGATATATATTAAGATTTGTTAAGATTTATTGAGCTGTAATGAAATTATATGAGATTAGATGATATTGGTTGATTTTATTTCAAATGAGATGGCATTTGATGAAATGACATTAAATGCTTTGCGTTGAGTTGTCATTAGATAAAATTATATATATATATATATATATATATTTATTTAATATCCATTCACATTATTTTTTTATGTTTATTATATTTCAACTTCCATTCCTTCATCTCCTTCCCAAAATTTGCTGAATGCATCTCAGCCTAACTTTGAGTCTGTTTCGTCTCATGTTAGTCATCTCTTAAATTATCCTCGGTCGAATTATATAATAATAATAGTGTTTTCGTTTATGTGATCCACATTTTTACAAAATATCTGCAAGGTACTAAACTTTTCGAGGATCGGACTAAAGGCTCGGCATGGCCTGGCTCGCATCAGTTCTGGGATTGAGCTTTGTAGGAAACTTCCTTTAATAATCTTATATTATCGGGCTGTGGTCTGGCGAAAAATCATGACGATATTTAATCGTGTGAGAAGTTGAAATGGGCGTTTATGTTCGGACATGCCCTTATAAATGTGGCTCCTATTCTCACTTTATCAATAGTACTTAAAGCGATTATAAATAATAAATTATGTTTTTACGAGTGACTGTTTGGCCGCCAGGAACATTGTCTTTAAAATTGAGATAAATTTTTAGTTTCTGGGACAACTAGACAGCGCCGTTTTCCTCCACTCGCCAGGTAAGCTTTCATCCGAATTGTTGCTCGTTATATTTTCTCATAGAATAGTAACCTTGGCAGATGCGTTTGGAGGTTAGCCGGTCCTGCAGTCCAGTTGATCAGGGGCCATCAAGCCTCGTCTGATACATCCAATTACGTATTGCACATTTTACAATTATGACTGGCATGGGCATGGCCAGTATGGCTCGGAGTTTCTGCGCTGTTTATTAAATTTTGCCGCATTGTGATTTTCTGCAACATCAACTGTGATTTTTCGGCAGGAATTTCTTTCATCTTGTTTCCGAGCTACTATACTTCGAGTTGATTAATCTTCATAAAGGCCCTTAGCAAATATTGTGGCGTGTTCAAAAAAAATCTGCAAATAGAAAAAAAAACGTAGAAATATGCACATACAAATACGGAATAGAATATACAGAACAATATAAACAGAGGAATACGCAATTAGTTTACACACATTTTGTTATTAAATACAGGCATAATGAATCAGGAAAGAACATAAAATGCCATCATCTGGCTCTAATTTACGGTCTATATGCAGTAGTCACTTTTAATATAATGAAAATTTTGACTTTCACAAATAGATTATCTGCATACAATGTTCTTTCTTTCAGAGTAGACCCTTCTCTTTATTAAAAGTAAGCAAAGAAAAGAGCCCTAACCTCAATAGTCTGGATCAGGTTAAACATTGACAGATGTTGAAAGGATTGAGAAATACATTCTCCAGGAACCGGTTATATAAAGCTTTATTTCTGTTTTGGTTTTATAGCGCTTTCATTATTTAACTCTTCCCCATCTCTCAGTTCCTTTGGTAACGAAGTTAAGTAATTAAGTCAATTCTCTCGTAGTGAAATGTATTCCGTGCAAGAATGATATTATTGCATCATTAGCGCGCATAATTTAGTACAAATTCATGAATTATTTCACTTGGCATTAAAAAACCTGCCTACCAACCTGCGGCTTTTGACATTTTTGACAAGATTGGCTACAACTCCATCCTATTGCTTGATAGGCTCGGCATCGTCAGGCCGGCCTAACAAATAGCCTATCGTAGATACCAGCCCAGGAAGTCTAGACTAATGAGAGTTCTTCAAGAGCTCTTGAAGTTGGCCCAACTATCATAGTCGGTGGGCAAGTTGACTTGGTAACATTTTTTATTAAGGAATAGAAATTCTCAAAATAAACTTCTGCTTGCTACATCGATAAATGTCGGCCTTATTGCCAAGGCGACCGGGATTTTTTCACATAATCTGGCATGAATATAGCCAGACATGAGACTACTTTACATTCCATATTTTTACAGACGCTGTCTGTGGTTAGGCCCTTTTGTTATTGAATCTCTCAAAAATGCCTTTTCAGAATCTGATTGCCATGGACGCAAACGGTCTTTCTGATCCCTACGTCATCTGTCAGCTGCTACCAGTTTCTGGATCAAAAAATACGCGTCTTCGAACCAGAACGATCCCTCAGTGCCTCAATCCGGTATGGAATGAAACCCTCACCTTTGAAGATGTTGATGGCAAAAATATTCAAAACAAGGTGCTTCGGTAAGTTTTCTTTTTAACATCTAAAATTAAATTTTTCTGAATGGTTTTATACCCACAAATTTCAATCCAATAAAAACGGCTGTTTAAAGTGAGGGGCTTTAAACGAGTTTCGTTGGGTTAACCTGAATTACGATGGTAGTAGGCCAATTGGTATCAGCAATATTTTTTTAAATTCTATTCATAAGGATGTTTTTCGAGACTATCAGGCGATGAGAAGTATTCATCCTATTTTGTTTAGGACTGTTAGTCCGAAAGCCGTCCTTACAAATAAAATATAAATAATGTAGCTGATTATTATTCTAAATATAACTTTGCTCTTGACCAGTTCAGACGAGGTTGAAACTGGATGAGAATACCTTTTGGGAAAGAAAGGCTGTGTGAAATTCAATGAAAACGTAGGGTCTACTTATCGAATTGTGAGTAAATTAAACTTAAACGAAAAAGGGGGAATACGTCTTATAATATTGATTTATTATGAGTAATTAATGAATGTACCTAAAGAAGGACATTATTTATATCATTGAAGAAGCCTTCTGTGTTCAGAGGATCCCTAGGAAAAAATGAAATTACGGAGAGTACAATAAAGTGTTCAAATAAATCCTTTTAATATTTGCAATTTGGGCATGTTTCGAGGCTATATTTTATTCTTGAATAGAAGACTAGTCGGTCTATATTGCTTAAGCCGATTTAAGGACTGATTTTTGCTTCAGAATGCCTTGCTTCCTTTGGATCTTAAGGAAATTCGATACCGAGTTGTAGACATCGGGACCATGCAGGCTTCTTCCAAAGCACATATTGACGTCAACTCATTCAAATGTTAGAGCAAAGTCAACTC